ATATGCTTTCACATGTTGATAATATCGAAATGGAATTTTGCAACTTTTTCTCGAATTATACGATGAAAGTCTGCTGCCAAAGGCAGCAATTTAATAATTGTTGAAACGAAGAAAAAAAATGTATTATTAAAATATCAGTAGTGGAATTTATAAACGACGAAATGCGAAAGCGAGAGTGAAATTTTTCGAATAATACTAATTTAATTTTTAAAACGTGTCAATTAATCGAATAAAAGCGTCGAAACTTTATTACGTATTATATGAATATAAAAATAAAATAACATCGAAGGTTTTATTGATACATTTACACGAAGAATTATATCATGAAATTCATATTACATCGAAGATATTAAACATACATGTATTAACAGTATTTCAATTTTTCAAATGTAACGTAATATAGATGTAATTCGAAACGAATCGAAATGAGAAATTTCTATTGTATCGAACAAACGAGCACATTTCTGTAATTTTTTTTTTTTTTTATGAAAAAAATCTAAATCTAAAAACCTACACATCGAAGATGAAATTGGATTCTTGACTAATTATACGATTATCCGCAGTATCATGTAGAAAAGTCACAGAAACGAAACGAGAAACAAAGAACAGATAACACGAACACAGGGAAAAGCATGGAAAAAAATTTTCTTCTCTCTCTCTCTCTCTCTCTCTCTGCTCCTCTCGTCTTTTTTCATTGCACAATTTCCTTAAGGTTAAGGATACACATGGATTAAAGCTAATGGGGAAAGATGATTCCTCTCCATTAACATATTCTCGGATTGGATTATAACAGGTCACGTTATAATCTGCGTCGATTACGTGTTACATGCATTTCGCTTGCGTGGTGTGCCACGATAAATGGATAACACATTCGCATAATGACACGAACAACTAGTGACATAAATATATCGTGTATATATATATATATATACATATATGTATATTATGTGGTGTAAGAAAAGCATATAAAAAAAAGGATAAAAGAAAGAGAAAATAACCGGTTAAAGGATTTATACTTTTTTGTCAATGTCAACATTTATCTTATCATGCTAATAATTCCGTGTCAGTTTTTCTCTATCGTGAAATAATGCGTTCATACTTCTACAACAGTGTGAACAGTTTAATTTTAATGCATTACTATTATATAGAAAAGATTTATATTTTTTATTGTTAAAGTTTTCCAATGTTATCTTGCAAGAAAATTTGCGCATATATGAGGAATAATATGGGGAACATGGAACAACTTTTAAATAAAAGATTTGATTGAAAGAGTGAAGAGACATACTGTTACAGAATTATGTTAAATAAAATAAAAAGAAAGAAAGAAAGAAAAAAATATTAAGGATCAAAATAATATTTTGCTAAAAAAAAATTATTTCATATATATATATATATAATTCATTATGTTCCAAATATATGTAAAGTTTCAAATATATGTTTAGTTTTGATAACACAATTAAATGTACAATAATTTCTGTGACTAATATTAACATATAGAAAATAATATACTAAATATATTTGATAATTATTTATCAAGTATTTAAAAATTGAAAATGATTTGATTATAAAAAATTTTTAATTGAATATCGAAATTGAACAAAAAGTTGTAATAAATATACAAACATCACATCAGTAAAACGTATTGGCGTTAAGAATTTGAGCAAATCGAGACCAACATGATACTGTGTGATTTTGAGTCGCTTATTCACACATAATGAAATCTACGATCACGTACTGTTTTTCAGTTCATGACAAATTGCGAATTACGCGGTACGAGTTTTTTTTCTCGTGCATTGGTGAACCGCAAATTACGTAGTGTGACGTGTTCTCTGTCGATTGTCGATAAAGTGCGAATCGCGTATTACCACTAAGTTTTTCCCGCTTAAAAGCAAGTTACTTAATATGGTGGGTGCGCTGGAGTTGTGCATAGTCCACGATATTTGAGGTTATCCATGATTGCAATAATATTTTTCAAATTCTATTATAAGTTTAACACGAGAATGTGTGAAAGTGAATAAAATTAAAAGTTATAAATGAATATGAAAGTATTAAAAATTTAACTTGTCTGCCGAAGTAAAATAAAGTAATCCAATCAAATACAATTTTTATAATTTATAAATGAAAGCTACGTATGCTTCAGAAAGAAATTTATCGTTCAAGTTTCAATTATTTATATAATTAATGATTATTATTCAATTATAATTTTGTCACGTGCCACGTTCGAATCTTATAAGAAATGTGAAGGATTTTCGTATACCTATATTTCACAGTTACCGTCACAGATGTCGTTACTTGTTTTCTTTGCAATGTCAATATATATAACTGTTGTGATGGAAAAAATTGTACATGTATTATATATGTTAAATTATGTATTTAAATATATATGTGTATATAAGAATAAAAGAAGGAAATTAGCGGTTGGCACGAGAAATTTGTACGAAACAAAAAATACAGTACGTTGAAAAAGACTTTAATTCAGGGAAAGAAGAAGAACGCGAGATACAAGTTTGCCAACCACTACCGTGAATTTAAACGTTTTTAGCGCTTTCAACTATTCAGCTAGGCTCCATCGCGCTTCAATTTAAACGAATGCGAAAAACATTTCTCCCGATGTTTTTTTTCTCGTTTTATTTAAACACCATGTTCCCACTTCACCGAGTTTTCTAGCTTGGTTGGTCAGTTCACAAACGTGTATAGAAAAACTAGCGGAAACGAAACAACGATGACACCAGAAATCGCTATTTTATTCTCTCTTTCTTTTTTATTCCTGTATTTGACATACAAGGGATTGCAAATGGAATCGTCAATTTGTTATAATAATTATCTAATTTTGCGTAATTTTTTCCGAGAAAAATACCATTAATCTGAAATTTTTAAATTCTTGAAAATAAGGAGGAGCAAAATATATTTGATATTCGAACGAATTACAATTCTCACGTGCAATTAATTTCACTCGTTTATGTTATTTATATTTATAGAAATAAGAGGAAAAATACGAGCATTATCAATCACTTCATTTACTGCCTACTTTTTTATTTCGTCCATATTCGTTCTCACCAATAAGTTAACGATTTTGTTGTTTCCCTTTTCGATTATCTCTCGATCGTTTTTCTTTCCTCCTTTTCTTTCAACTCGAAAAAGAGAGAGAACACATCCTTTCCCTACTTTATTCCACGGTCGGAATCAAACGAGAGAAGGCACCACTTCGAAGTCCAGCCAGTGTCATTATCTAAAACGTTCTGAGGTAAGCTATTAAATGCCATTGGTATCTTTCTCGGTGGCCTGTTTGTCGTGCTTGTCGTTCTTCTCTCCTTTGTGCCGACTGACTGCCCACAGTCTTCCAAGCTCGTGGCTTAGACATGGGTGGCCTTTTCTTTTTCTTCTCTATACCTCGTGTTATAAAGAACGAAGAATCAAGAAAAGAACAAGAACCTTACGAACGATCCAGAAGCAAGAGAGGAGAATGGTGCGGATAGGTAGAACTTCTCCCCTCCCTTCCCAAACCCTGGTTTTACCCATTTCTTTCTATCCATCTGTCTTTTTCTCACACTCCACCGAGAACTGACATTCCAACTGCCTATTTCGAGAATGACTGGACTCGTTTGTGTCGCGACATGTACCTGTGTATCCCTCTCCCTCCTCCCTCTGTTCATTGGAATCATGCCAGTTTCGCCGGCAGCACAAACTCGCCCAAATGTTCTCGTCTTTCTCACACCTATACCGCAGCTACACGTATATTCTCCTCCCCTACTCACTTTTCCTTGCCATCCTTCTTTCTCGCTCCTTGCACCGACATTTTCGTTCGATACTGGGGCGCGTGCGACTACACTAGATGATAGTATATGTCCCTCTATCTGTCCCCCACTTTCCACTATCCGCAACCCTCGTTCATTTGCTTTCCTTTCACGCTGTCTTCTTTCTTTCCTTTCTTTTCACACCACTCCTTTTGTCCGTTTGTATCACATTGGGCGTACGTGGCGCATATGTGGCAGAGAGGGTAATAATTATCACTGCGAATAACCCAGTCTCCTTTGTGCCGTGTAAGAAAATATCCGTCGCAAGTAGAATGGAAGATACCGTCGTTGCTTACAGCGCCTTCTATACACACTTTCATTGCTCACAAGCTCTCTCAACTCGAAGGAACTCGGGTAATTCCTACCGGCGAATATAGTTGGATGAACAATACTAAAAGTAAATACTTGCAGAGAAACGTAAATAGAGTTTCTAGATTCCGTTGATCATTCATTATCCTATGATTTTGAAGTGGTCTCTTGGAAAACAACGAGGTTAGATCTCCCCCTACATAAGTTATACGTGATCATAGGTTATATATACATTGGTAACACTCGTTTCAACCAACGAGATATGCAATCTAAATATATTTGAATACGATAATTTTGTAGATAAACAATGTAATATTTGATGGATAGTGGAAATAGAAATAAAAAAAAATACATTTACTCGTATAAAAAATTATAATTATAGGGAAGGCAACATCTTCCCATATTGTCAAGGATATTTTTAATGTTTTCTTATAACTTAATCAATGATTTCAAGATATTTATTAAAAAAATACTATACATAGAATTATAGAAATATATCCATGAAGTATATATTACCATTTATCAACTATATAAATATATCACAACAACTGTCGTATAAAATATATACAATAGATGAATTGGTTAAAAAGCTTTTTCAAATAAATATCTCAAGACCAATTCACGGATCTTAAACGATAGCAATATCAACATCATACTTATTTACAATCTTAATTATTATAATTTCAATCACCTTAATAATGTTAATATTATCTTGTTAAGTTAATAATTGTCATGAACATATAGATAAAATTTTGTGTAATAGTAAGAAAGTCTTTCTTGACAAATATCTCAAAGAAATCGCCGAATAAGTTATTCAGAATAATATCCTTGATAAAATATATTACACATTACATAACCCTACATATGCATAATCACGAAAATAATTTACACGCTACAAAATAATATAAAATTATACTTTAAAATCAATAAAAAAAAAAAAAAAAAGTTAAATGATTTTAATATGAGAGCACAATTGGTTAATTAAAGTCACGGGAAAGGTATGGTAACAAATTTGTCACGTGCAAATTATATACTCCACGGTACCGTTCAATTTGCACCAGAATAGCTTTTCTTCCTACCAGGCAACAAGGTAACGCGCAGTTTCAGCGAGAGAATAGTTATCACTCTGTACATTCCCTCTCCATCTCAACCATATCCCACTCCTCACTCTTTACACTCCATCTTTCTCACGCCCTAAGCCACGATTTGTCTCTTTACCCGAGTGCATGTGTACAGGTTTGTGTGTATCCCGTTGAAAAGCTCGGAGCGAGCGCTCGGTCGAGCACAAGCAGTGGCGGCTATTCAAAAGTGTATTGCAAAAATTCCGTCGATAGAGGGTGAACTTCTCTCCCTCCCTTGATGCATAGGCAAATCTCGTTCCGTGAAGTGACTCGAAAACGTAATTTCGACGGGTAAGCTGACAGAGAAGAAGCGACAGATTGAAACCTGGCTGGAATAGTTAACTCTGATATTCATCCAGGATCCTCGTATCTCTTTCACACACACTCTGCGACTTTCCTCTTAACGCTATATTGTCATTGGTTGTTTACATATTGCGCTCACGTAGCCATCATCCAAATTTCCTCATCGTTCAAATTACATGCTGCTGCGCCATTGTACGTATAATAAGTTTCATTTCTTATACACCTATTTGTTGTATTTTTGATGAATTTATCGAATAATTATTTTATATTCATTATCATTCGTGCTTGTGCATTCCTTTATGGTATCGAAGAAAGAAGGAAAGAGAAGAAGGGGGAGGGAGAGAGAGAGAGAGAGAGAGAGAGAGAGAAGGAAGGCGANAGAGAGAAGAA